TTGGGTGTTAGCTAAAAATTCCCTCTCCTGATTAAGCTGGGCAGGCACACAGAGCTTCCTCATTCTTTCCAGATGGACAGTTATGACCTGCCTCTCATTTCATGCTCCACCTCCCACAGAGTAGATTCAGACTGAACATGTTATAATCAAAGGGCTATCTCCTGTCAGAATATGCCACATGGTTCTCAAAACCCTCTGCAAAATAGTTTTATGTTTAACGCTGTGCTGCAGGCTGCTTTCTCCAGTACTTCATCCATATTAAGCACACATTTATAATTTCTGTGATGTAAAAGTTCATTACATGTAAAGATAACAAAGATAGAAAAGATAAAATACACCCTAGAACAATAAATAAATAAACATACGCAAAAAATGGACCAGCACTGTTTAACAACACGGCCTTTGGCATCACTCAGAGTTCCACTTTTCCCCCTATAGTATTTAACACTTATATGAAGTATCTAAGAGAGGTCTTCTAAGGCAGGGGTTGTCAACCCCTGGTCCATGGCCTGGTGCCAGTCTGTGGGTTTGCCGGAACTGGGCTGCGGATATGGCTCTCCGCCCTCCCACACACATGTGCAGTGGGCATGTAGCGCTCATGTGAGGGTGTCGCGCCCGCAAGGGGTGGGTCACGGTCACGCAGGGGGTGTCATATCTGCAGGGGGCACCCACGTGCCCCCCCGCACATGAAGCTTGCTCCCCCCAGCCAGTCCACGGTCCCAAAAAGGTTGGGGACTGCTGCTCTTAGTTTTGGAGTGATGTGCCATCAATATGCTGATGACACCCACCACTTTATCATCCAACACCAAGAAAACAGTCAGTACCTTTGCACACGGCCTAAGCTTAATAATGGGCTGGATGAGTTGAAATTAAATCCTCAAAGATGGGAGGTGCTGCTGGTCAGGAGAAAGTCTGATTCAGGAATTGAAATTCAACTTATTCTAGAAGAGGTTGAAATCCTCCTGACAGGTCAGGTTCATAGTATAGGAGTACTCATATTTTCAGGGATGGAAGCTGAAACAGCAAGATGTAACAAAACAAAAACAGCAGCTAAGTGAACCCAAACCCCCTTTTTGTCAGAGGAAGTACACTGGAGGGCAAACAAAAGCTGTTTCTGCTTCCTAGTTAATTTATCTCAAGTGCCTGCATGGTTAGGATAGTGATAGCAGAATGATGGCTGCCTAGTCTGCTCATATAGAGAAGTTATTACATTCCTTTATTAAAATTATAGGGCAAGAGCAGAATATGGAAAAATTATGGCCATGCTGTATGAGGATTCTGGGCATTGTAGTCTAATCAAGTAACTTTTCCAGGGTCTTCACGAAAGGAAACCCCCTAAGCTACATGTCCAACAGGTATTAAATAGTCAGGAAATGCTAGGACAAGCTTCCTCTCATTAGGTTCTAATCAGATGCATGACTTCAACTCCCATCATCCAGCCAAGCCAGCTGGATGGTGGAGTTATCATCTAAGATATCTGGAGGGCACAACCTTGAGGAAGAATGAAGCAGGGCGTAGAAAAGTTAGTGTGTATTGTTTCCTAGAATAAGAGATGATGTTGGCTTCGCTACAGGTATTGCAGATAGTCAAATTAAATAGTTTAAAAAGGGAAAGAGATTTTTTGTTCAACTATAGCTCCCATCATCCCCATCACATCAACAACCAAGATTTACAGCTCCCATAATCCCTCACCACTGGCTATGTTGAGTTAGGGCAGATGGGTGTTGCAATTTAATAGTATAGTATCTGAAGGGTCACATGACCCTCCAACCCATCCCAACTTAAAACTATCATTACCCATGGGTATAAGTGTTCATTTCCCCTCCTGACCCACTGGAGATCTCTATCAAAAAAGGTTTGTTTCTGCATCTAAACTCCAGTTGGGAAAAATAATATCATAGTTGAATTAAGAGTCTTCTGAGCTTTCTGAAGTAGAAAGATTGAGCCCTGCGGGAAGCTCCTTTCCCCGTTCTAAAACAATAGAGCCATTTCCGTTTCAGCTCCTCAGATGCAACAACAACGATAGCTGGGCTTGGCTATAAGCAGCAACCTGGCTTGTCATGGGAAAGTCCCCAGTAACACTATTGTCAGAGAAACATTTAGCAATATACAGCATTGGGCACACGTAAGAATTTGTTCTCACTGTGCAGGATAGAAAGTCAGCTTCAAAAGAGTGGAAAGTTTTAGAAAAATTTGTAACCTTACAGATGTTGGAGATAATTAATGACTGGCTTCCTGTCCTTATATAGTACATTGAAAAGATTCTAATGAAGAACGCCCCCCTTCTGCTATAATTGCTAGGGAATTTTGAGGGAGAAGCAGAAAAGGGAACAGCACCCACTGTGTTTAGACCCCTTTCCACGACCTTCTGAACGAAGCTGTGAATGATGCAGAGCTGGGAATACTTTGAAGAATAAAATTATGTATTAAAACCATCCCCAACTGAACAGTGCTAGAATAAGTGTTCTGGGATCCAGAGCATCCTCATACACAGTCAGGGATGATTTTAAGTCAACTTTACATTTGTTCTTTTTAGAAGTAATTATCCAATAACTCTTAGAAGAACATAAAATCATAGAGGTAGACAATACTCCAATACTCTATCCTGGCAAGGGGATTGTGAGAGCTACAGCTTGAAAAAGTAACTTTCCCCACATCTGCTGCTGATTCTCCTCATCTTAAATTTTCACAGGATGGCCTGAGGTCAGTCTCTTCTTCCATTTTCACAGCAAGGCCAGGCATGCTGTGAAGCAAAGCAAAGAGGTACTAACCACACAACATCTTCATTCCTGAAGAAGGCCTCTAGGTATTAGGGACCATCTTGTACAAGAGACATTTGAGGGAGAAATGAAGATGGAAGGCAAAAAGAGTCTGAGGCAGGGCTTTATATACCCAGCTGGGCCTGCACAAATGTAAATTTCAGAAAAATATTTTTAAAACTCTACTCTTGTGGAATGGGAAGACAGTGCATAAAAGGAGTAACTTCAAAGACAATAAATGTGTCACTTTCCAGAAAAGAAATACTCTACCACCACTTTGAACCTAGATGTTGTCTAGAGGCAAAACTGTAATCAGGAAGCCCCATCTGTGAAAACGTCTTCAGCACAGTGAAACTATGGATCTCAAAACACCAAAGTGAAATTTATTTCGGAAATTTAAAACAAAAACATGGATTTTGATGCCACCGTGTGGTGAACATCTTCACTGCATCTTAAAACTTCATGCAAGCTGTCAAACAAGTCTGATTGTACATGATTATGTTCAGAGAAGAAAGTTTTTGCACTTTCAGGATGAGGCTGAAGCTGCTAAAAATGAATATTCAAAAGAAACTAAAATCAAAAGGAAGTGGAAGGGAAGGAAACGGATGAGAAAGGACAGATAGACAGGACAGGGCTTGGCAATGCTTGAATTAATAGGGCTGATGGGTAAATAGAAATGATAAATTTGAGCTTAAACCAATTATGAACTCTTCTTCTCCAAGCAAAAAGCAAAGGCAAAGCTGAGACAACTTCATTTGGTAAATGGCAAACACCACAAAGAAAGGTAACTGTGCCTTAAACAAGAGCCTCATGGTGCAGTGGTTAAACTCTAGTACTGCAGTCAAGACTCTGCTCATGATTAGAGTTGGACCCTGGGCTCAGGTAGCTAGCTTGAGGTTGATTCAGCCTTCCAACCTTCTGAGGTTGGTAAATTGAGTGCCCAACTCACGGAGGCAATATTTTTTAATGTTATAAAATATGACCTGTACCTGTTTTAAGTCATGCTGTGTGTTTTTTCTGGCTGCTGCACTTGAAGAAATCTAGGATACACATTAATGGACTAAATCAAAGCAAGAGTCAGTAACCTGATACAGTGAACAAGACTGCCATTGTTAACCAAAGTTACACTCCTTCAAGGTAAGGAGGAGACGATGAACACTCAATGTCAAAGTAACTCCAGAGTCCAAAAAGAATGAATTGCCCAGAACACACATGTTTACCACATAGCATATTGGTAGAACTGGAAAGAGTTGTCCTTTTTTGGACCAAAACCCTCTATGCTGGGTACAGGATTCTGAGAAATGTAGCCAACAAAAGGAACTTTTCCAAACTTTGCATATGGGGCAGCAGTATGCAATGCTGCAGATTTCCAGTTGTTGGCCCAGCAGCAACTAATCAAGTGTGCTGCAGCTGCCAAGGAAGCCAACACAGTCCTAGGCTGCATCAATGGGGGGACAGCATCAAGATCACGGGAAGTGATACCACACTGGTGAGGCTGCACTTGGGAGTGTTGTGTCCAGTTCTGGTCACCCCAAAACAAAAAAGACACTGAGGCCCTGGAAGGGGTGCAGAGAAGAGCAACAAAGATGATAAGGGGACTGGAGGCTAAATCCTATGAAGAACGACTAAAAGAACTAGGTATGTTTAGCTTAATGAGGAGAAGACTGAGGGGAGACATTTTAGTAGTCTTCGAATATCTGAAGGGTTGCCACAGGGAAGAGGGCATCGATTTATTCTCCATTGCGCCTGAGGGAGAACCAGAACCAATGGGTGGAAACTCATCAAAGGGAGATCCAACCTGGAAATAAGGAGGAATTTCTTGACGGTGAGAACCATCAAGCAGTGGAACAGCTTGCCCCCATCACTGGAGATTTTCAAGAAGAGATTGCACAGCCATCTGTCCGGGATGGTACAAGGTCTCCTGCCTTGGACTGGAAGACCTCCAAGGTCCCTTCCAACCCTACAATGATTTTATGATTCTATAAGTAGAGCATTTGACAGAGAGGTGGCCACCAGAGAAAGGTCAGTTCCTAGCTGCGAAATTTCTGGCCTCCTTCAGCATGATCACTCACAGCATCAAAGCCTAAGAGATGCGAGTGACACAGATAGTTGTTCTCAGGGAGAGGCGCTCCATCGAATAGCAATGTCCCAAATTACCAGAATGAAAATTGTCATGGTGCCCCAGATAGGTTTTGTGAGTGCCGCTATGTGCTACCATTGGGTTATAAAGGAGAACTGACGTATCCCAATTATGAGAGGTTTATTAATAGCATGAGAAACTGCCACACTGAAGTAATTTGGGTGTTGGAGCAGTGCTGCCATTTTGGTCTGCCAGCATTCGTTAAAGACCCCTTAAATACATCACATCTTCACCAAGGCAGCTTTTCACCCTTCCAGTTTACAAGAATGCCACTGTGCCTATCGTCAAGTTTGGAAAGCACATTGAGGATCCCTCGCACACTGTCATCTACCGTCAGATCAGCCTGCAAGAAAGACAAACAGGAGAAAAAAAGTAGCAGCATGTTTTCAGGAGAGCAGAGTTTACAATGGCTTTTTAATTTCATCTACCACTCCCTGCATAAAATGATAATTTCATTCACCAAAGGACAATTTATTCTGCAAACTCAGTCATTAGCATAAAAACCCTTAAGCCAAACTCAATAACCTTAGTTTTCAACAGAGTGATCACAGGAAAGATAATTCGGTGGAGGAAGAGGGTTCATGATTGTGGCTGTTTATAAATAGATAGTGTGACAACAGGCTGGGTTAAACCTAAAAAGCTGACTTTTGCATTTTCCCCAGTCCCTAATGCTACCTGCACGGAATATAACTCTCAATAAGGGTGTGTCCACATGGAAGACTGTCATGAGTTGACACAAACTTCTCTATACTATACCGAAGCACTTAAATCATTGTCATCATTCACACAAAAAATATTTCATTATCCTGGGAAGCTGTATTTCAAGTGCATCACACAGCTCCTCTTTCTCATTACTGCTATGCTCTAAACTTGCCCCTTTCATCAGGATTCAAATTCCTTCTTATTTTTAATGTTTAGCAAATTTTACTTCTTTTGTCTCATTATACATTATACTTTTCTCTCAAGGGGGGGGCTCTGTGTAGCTCACTATGTTAAACCAAGTAAAATTAAAAACACATTTAAAAAGCAGTTAAAGTATAATAATAATAATAAAATACACTGTTATTAAAAAGACTTAAAACTCAGCTAAAAACCTCCCAGGGACTCAGATATGCTTATTAAAAGCCTGTCTGAAGAGGTGGGTCTTCAACTGTCAGCAGAAGCATAAAAGGCAGGGGACTAATCTTAGCTCCCAAGGGAGAGAACTCCACAACCTTGGAGCAACCACTGAGAAGGCCCTCTCTTCCATCCCCATCAAACCTGCCTGTCATGGCAGGAAGACCAAGAGGAGGGACTCCTCTGAAAGGGTCATGTGGGGAGACACAGTCCTTCATTTAGTCTAAATTATATAGTGCTTCATAGGTAACCAACTCGCAGTTTAAATTCAGCCTTGGAAACTGACTGATAGCCAGTGCAGTTGTTGCAGAAGAGGCTAGAACAAATGTAATGGAGCTGAACAGACAAGATACAGTAAACACTTGTTTTGTCAACAGCACTGCAGCATACGCTAGGAGAAATATGTATTTAAAAATACAATATTCAAATTAAACTGCAGTCATAGTCATTACCTATGCAAAAACGAGACAGGCAAAAGGAGCCTGGTTCATCCCATACCCTGCTCCGTTCTAAGCGCCATCAATGACGTAATCTGAACATGACTCCAAAGGATCATGTGAGTCAAAAAGCAAGACAAAATAATAGCAGTGGAAATGTTACAAACATACTCACAAGCTTTGCTGGCTGAATAAAATATACTTCAAATGCAGGCAAAAAGATCAGATCGACTCAGAATGAGCACTCCTGCCATGTTGTCCACACAGTAAGTATCAAAAGGAACAATGATGATGGTATTGAGAGTGTGATGAGTTGTGTTTTTATGTGTTACGAGAATGGGATATGTAGTCCTAAGATGAAAATTTTACATGCTGTGTCAGAGAAGCTTCGTTCTCTGGTTATCTAGTTGCTAAAGTGAGCCAGAGAGTTACATTCCTGGTAGTCATAATAATTCTGCTACAAAACATGATAACAACTCAAGCTCCCATGAGAAAGTTAGGCGGGACAACAAGACCCAGGAGGGGGTGTTCCTTATGAGGCATCCTGGGAAGAAGGAGGAAGTTGGTAGAAGTTGAAAAAGATGGAGTTTGACTGAGAAAGGGACAGACATGTGCTTTTTCCCAAAATGGATTATAACTTTTGAATGGAGTCTTTTTGCCAACATGGACTAATGGATTACAACTGGATTTTACCTTACCTGTTGGACTATGGACGGTGAAGTCTCAGGATACGTAAGAATGACTATGCTTATGCATATCCTAGTTTAGAATGCGTTTCTTGTTGATTTGTCAGCCTTGATATGAAAATGTTTCTAACTGAAATGCTTTACTATAATCTGAATTCTTTTCTGAACCATATGTCTTAATAAAGCAGTAATGTTTTGGAATTGCATGCATTGGTTTCTTGAACAGACTAACCTATCTAATTGGCCATGTGTATTTGCTACCCTATAGAGCCCAGATTTGCCTGAGTGTAAACTCATGGATTGTCTATGTTTCTTGTTTTTACTTAACAAAGGGGATGGACTGGAGGAAGGAAAATTAGTGCAGGGCCTGGCTGAGATCTAGGGCTCGTCTTAGCTCATAAGGACTGACTAATTTTCTGGAATCTCTCCTTCTCCGGCTTCCCCTTAATCTCCTTGGAGATGGGGGATTGCTTACAGAGAGAGCCCGCAAAAGCAGCAGATCTGAACTCAAAGAATCCTCCCAGATAGCATGGAGGGGCCATGCAGGCAAGGGATTATAAACATTCTAGTTACAAAAGGTTTTTTTAAAATATGTCTGAGCAGATACCAGCATGGGGTGTCTAACCATCTGTACTATTTTTGTTATTAATAATTGGGTGCTTCCCATGCAAACAAAACAAAAAATAGGCTTGACATCAATCCCAGGCAAAATTCTGGAACAGATCGTAAAGCGGTCATTGTGCAAGCACCTAGAAAACAAGGCAGTAATAACTAGAAGCTGTGATGATTTGTGTTTTTATGTGTATTAGAATGGGATATGTAGTCCTAAGATTGTCCCAATAGCATCCATCTTGATTTAAAGTCTGCTCTGTAGTAGGAAAGTTTTTCATGCTGTTTCAGAGAAGCTTCGCTCTCTGGTTATCTCGTTGCTAAGATGAGCAGAGAGCAGAGACTTTCGTAGTCAAAATAATTCTGCCACAAAGTATGATAACAACTGAAGCTCCATGAGAAAGTTAGGTGGGACAACAAGACCCAGGAGGGGGTGTTCCTTATGAAGAATTCTGGGAAGAAGAAGGAAGTTGGTAAGGAGTTAAAAAAAAAGATGGAGTTGGACTGAAAAAGGTCAGACATGTATAATTTCGCTATGGACTATTTTTCCTACCTTAGACTGATGGAAGTCAACTGGATTTCATCTAGCATCAGCCTATGAAGACCCAAGACACGTGAGATGGACTGTGTTATGCTTTTTAATAGTTAGCATAATTCTATTTCTTTATTTTTATAGCTGGAGTGGGGAGGGGAGTGTTCCGTTTGTCTTGATATGAAAATGTACCTACTGAACCACCAACCTCTCCAGCCTCTAAATTCTTCAGGCATCCTACTCTCAAACATTTTCTCAAAGGGTTAACTCACATATACCCTGATACACGCTCTCCTCACCTAAATGGTTATTGACACTAATCCTTTGGCACCTTATAAGGGCCCCTTTTGAGCCCCTCGCATTGACGGACCTCCATCTTTGAGGCTGCATTCCTCGTGGCAGTCACCTCTGCATGATGTGCCGATGAGCTTGCAGCCTTACGATCCAACTATCCATATCTCCAGTTCCACCCTGACAAGGTTCAGCTTTTTCTAGATGCTTCATTCCTTCCCAAGGTTGTCTCCCAGTTCCTCCTCTCTTAACCATTGGTTCTTCCATGCTTTTTCCTATCTCCATCCACTCCTCAAGAAGCATCCTTCACACCTTGGATGTTAGACGGCCTCTAGCTTTCTATATAGCCTGCATGCAACCATTCTGGCATTTGCCTAGACTTTTTGTCAGCTACCAGCCTCCATCGATAGGTCTTGAAGTCACCTCTCAGTGTATATCCAAGTGGGTTGCCTCTGCTATTCAACTTGCCTATCAGCTTGCATGTGTTCCGGTGCCACAGTCCCTTCGACCACACTCTATCAGGGCATTGGCAGCATCCACAGTTTTCCTCTGAGATATTCCCCTCCATGAGATTTGTGCATCTGCCACATGGTTGCAGCCATCCACATTTATTAATCACTATCTGCTAGATGTTTGCCAGAAATCGAATGCAGATTTTAGACGTGCTATACTTTCTTCTACCTTGGCATGACAACCTCCTCTGGGTAAGCCAGCTTGTTAGTCCCCCAGAGTGTGATTCACAGAGGCCACAAAGAAGGACAGGTTACCTACCTGTAATTGCAGTTCTTTGAGTGGCCCTCTGTGATTCACACATCCCAACCCAGCCTCCCCACTGTCATGCCCTCACTCCAAAGTGGCAGTTGACTTAACTGAAGGGTGAGCCTTGGCGCCAAGATACATATACTGGGGGGAGGGGCCTGTATTAATGTCTCTTTTCTGATCACAGAAAGTCTAGAATATTATTCTGATGATGCTATATTCATGCATGGATGGATCACCCAGAGTGTGAATCACAGAGGAACACTCAAAGAACTACAATTACAGGTTGTTGTTGTTGTTTAGTCGTTTAGTTCTGTCAGACTCTTCATGATCCCCTGGACCAGAACACGCCAGGCCTTCCTGTTTTCCACTGCCTCCCGGAGTTTGGTCAAATTCATGTTGGTAGCTTCGATGACACTGTCCAACCATATCATCCTCTGTCGTCCCCTTCTCCTGCCTTCACACTTTCCCAACATCAGGGTCTTTTCCAAGGAGTCTTCTCTTCTCATGAGATGGCCAAAGTATTGGAGTCTCAGCTTCACGATCTGTCCTTCCAGTGAGCACTCAGGCTTGATTTCCTTCAGAATGGATAGGTTTGTTCTCCTTGCAGTCCAGGGGACTCTCAAGAGT